CAACCCCAAACAAAATTCCCTTCCTGCCTGCCCCCTAACAAAAAACCCCTCCTTCCAAACCCCAAACAAAATCTCCCTCCTTCTCAACCCCCAACAAAATTCCCTTCCTGCCTGCCCCCTAACAAAAAACCCCTCCTTCCAAACCCCAAACAAAATCTCCCTCCTTTAAAACCCCAAACAAATTCCGTTCCTGCCTGCCCCCTAACAAAAAACCCCTCCTTCCAAACCCCAAACAAAATCTTCCTCCTTCCCAACCCCAAACAAAATTCCCTTCCTGCCTGCCCCCTAACAAAAAACCCCTCCTTCCAAACCCCAAACAAAATCTCCCTCCTTCCCAACCCCAAACAAAATTCCCCTCCTTCCAACCCCCAACAAAAAACCCTCCATTGCAACCCCAAACAAAATTCCCTTCCTGCCTGCCCCCTAACAAAAAACCCCTCCTTCCAAACCCCAAACAAAATCTCCCTCCTTCCCAACCCCAAACAAAATTCCCCTCCTTCCAACCCCCAACAAATAACCCTCCTTTGCAACCCCAAACAAAATTCCCTTCCTGCCTGCCCCCTAACAAAAAAAACCCTCCTTCCCAACCCCAAACAAAATATCCCTCCTTTAAAACCCCCAACAAAATATCCCTCCTTCCCAACCCCAACAAATGTCCCCTCCTTCCCAACCCCCAACAAATACCCCTCCTTTCCTACCCACGACAAAATTCCCTTCCTGCCTGCCCCCTAACAAAAAACCCCTCCTTCCCAACCCCAAACAAAATATCCCTGCTTTAAAACCCCCAACAAAATATCCCTCCTTCCCAACCCCCAACAAAGAAACAAAACTGACAGCACTGATGCAGAGCAGTAGTATCAAACTATCCAATTTTATGAACGAGGTATCTGTCTAAAGACAGACATTTCTAGTATATAGTATACAGTGATTTAGTGATAATGAAAATAAGTGACATCAGCAACCTAGAATATATAGGCAAAAAATCTGTGTTTCAAGAAAATGTGATATTAACCAGAAAGTGATATTAACAGACATGACATGAAGTAAGTTTCACTATATCACTGAATTAACACCTTTTTTGAAAGTATTTTAAACACTGACCAGGAATCTGTGTTGCTAAGATACATAGAGTGGAAGTGAAAAGACTATCGATCACACAATATACTGTTATAATTAAGATTGAAATGAAAAATGTTGATCTACATTGTAAAGTGTATTAAATCATTCTTCACTAGGCACAGGCAGAATATGAAATGATCAGTATCACCAGTACAGTTAAATGATTTTTGAATCTGCAATACACTAGCTGTAAGGAAAGGTCATCTACCAACTGGCCAATAAACTGACAATAAATCTCCAGTAAGTGAATGTGTTACTCGGACTGTCCATCTAATCAACAGAATAACTTTGGCTGGTGAATCAATGATCTCCTGCTCATGTTCACATACCAATTGTCTCCCCGTTGAAATCTTTAATCAGAGACGTTTTATAGTCTGATAAAACACCGAGACACAATGGGCCTCCATCACTCATCTTTCATTCAACAATGCTAAGTGCAAAGTGGATCAAAGTCTAACAAATTGCCAAACTTTTTTAAAATCAGGTCATGACTATTATTCAAACATTTTCGGCCTTTCCAAGGAAGGTGATTATCATGTTTCTATGTTATTTCTAGAAGATAGTCGATTATTATCTTATGTATCAATCAATACAGGTCAAGATGATTTTAAGTATAAAAGAGTTTAACACATTTGACCCCTGTGACCATGAAAATTGGTCAGGGTCATTTATTTGAACAAGCATGGTAGCTCTTTATCGCAGTATATTACAGACCAAACATCAGTACCCCAGGCCTCTTGTATATTGAGAAGTTGTTTAAAGCAGTGTAACACATTTAACTACTGTGACATTTAAAGTGGGTCAAGGTCATTCATTTGAACAAAGGATGGGTGCCAACATCCTACTGGCTATAAACTATATGTTTTCTTTGTTATGCATGAATACCTTATGGATAGATCAACATGATGTGAAGGTCCCCAGACTATGGGAGTATGTCTAGTGTCCTCAGACTATGGGGGTATGTCTAGTGTCCCCAGACTACGGGAGTATGTCTAGTGTCCCCAGACTACGGGAGTATGTCTAGTGTCTCCAGACTATGGGAGTATGTCTAGTGTCCTCAAACTATGGGAGTATGTCTAGTGTCCTTAGACTATGGGAGTATGTCTAGTGTCCTCAGACTATGGGAGTATGACTAGTGTCCTCAGACTATGGGAGTATGTCTAGTGTCCCCAGACTATGGGAGTATGTCTAGTGTCTCCAGACTATGGGAGTATGTCTAGTGTCCTCAAACTATGGGAGTATGTCTAGTGTCCTTAGACTATGGGAGTATGTCTAGTGTCTCCAGACTATGGGAGTATGTCTAGTGTCCCCAGATGGGAGTATGTCTAGTGTCCCCAGACTATGGGAGTATGTCTAGTGTCCCCAGACTATGGGAGTATGTCTAGTGTCTCCAGACTATGGGAGTATGTCTAGTGTCCCCAGACTATGGGAGTATGTCTAGTGTCCCCAGACTATGGGAGTATGTCTAGTGTCCTCAGACTATGGGAGTATGTCTAATGTCTCCAGACTATGGGAGTATGTCTAGTGTCCTCAGACTATGGGAGTATGTCTAGTGTCCCCAGACTACGGGAGTATGTCTAGTGTCCCCAGACTACGGGAGTATGTCTAGTGTCTCCAGACTACGGGAGTATGTCTAGTGTCCCCAGACTATGGGAGTATGTCTAGTGTCCCCAGACTATGGGAGTATGTCTAGTGTCCCCAGACTATGGGAGTATGTCTAGTGTCCCCAGACTATGGGAGTATGTCTAGTGTCCCCAGACTATGGGAGTATGTCTAGTGTCCTCAGACTATGGGAGTATGTCTAGTGTCCTCAGACTATGGGAGTATGTCTAGTGTCCTCAGACTAAGGGAGTATGTCTAGTGTGTCCAAACTATGGGAGTATGTCTAGTGTCCTCAGACTATGGGAGTATGTCTAGTGTCCTCAGACTATGGGAGTATGTCTAGTGTCCTCAGACTATGGGAGTATGTATAGTGTCCCCAGACTATGGGAGTATGTCTAGTGTCCTCAGACTATGGGAGTATGTCTAGTGTTCTCAGACTATGGGAGTATGTCTAGTGTCCCCAGACTATGGGAGTATGTCTAGTGTCTCCAGACTATGGGAGTATGTCTAGTGTCCTCAGACTATGGGAGTATGTCTAGTGTCCCCAGACTATGGGAGTATGTCTAGTGTCTCCAGACTATGGGAGTATGTCTAGTGTCCCCAGACTATGGGAGTATGTCTAGTGTCTCCAGACTATGGGAGTATGTCTAGTGTCCCCAGACTATGGGAGTATGTCTAGTGTCACCAGACTATGGGAGTATGTCTAGTGTCCCAGACTATGGGAGTATGTCTAGTGTCCTCAGACTATGGGAGTATGTCTAGTGTCCTCAGACTAAGGGAGTATGTCTAGTGTGTCCAAACTATGGGAGTATGTTTGTCCTCAGACTATGGGAGGGACTATGGGAGTATGTCTAGTGTGTCTCAGACTATAGTATGTATAGTGTCCCAGACTATCCTCAGACTATGGAGTATGTCACTATGTGTCCCCAGACTATGGGAGTATGTCTAGTGTCTCAGACTATGGGAGTATGTCTAGTATCCTCAAAACATGTCTAGTGTCCTTAGACTATGGGAGTATGTCTAGTGTCAGACTATGGGAGTATGTCTAGTGTCCCCAGACTATGGGAGTATGTCTAGTGTCCTCCAGACTATGGGAGTATGTCTAGTGTCCTCCAGACTATGGGAGTATGTCTAGTGGATGGGAGTATGTCTAGACATGTTACAGTGTCCTCAGACTATGGGAGTATGTCTAGTGTGTCCAAACTATGGGAGTATGTCTAGTGTCCTCAGACTATGGGAGTATGAGTGTATCAGACTATGGGAGTATGTCCCCAGACTATGGGAGTATGTCTAGTGTCCTCAGACTATGGGAGTATGTCTAGTGTCCCCAGACTATGGGAGTATGTCTAGTGTCCCCAGACTATGGGAGTATGTCTAGTGTCCTCAGACTATGGGAGTATGTCTAGTGTCCTCAGACTATGGGAGTATGTCTAGTGTCTCCAGACTATGTCTCCAGACTATGGGAGTATGTAGCTATAGTATGTCTAGTGTCTCCAGACTATGGGAGTATGTAGTGTGAACTATGGGAGTATGTCTAGTGTCCTCAGACTATGGGAGTATGTCTAGTGTCCTCAGACTATGGGAGTACTGTGTCCTCAGACTATGGGAGTACTAGTGTGTCCAGACTATGGGAGTATGTCTAGTGTCCTCAGACTATGACCTAGTGTCCCCAGACTAAGGTAGTATGTCTAGTGTCTCCAGACTATGGGAGTATGTCTAGTGTCCTCAGACTATGGGAGTATGTCTAGTGTCCTCAGACTATGGGAGTATGACTAGTGTCCTCAGACTATGGGAGTATGTCTAGTGTGTCCAGACTATGGGAGTATGTCTAGTGTCCTCAGACTATGAGGTATAGTATCCCCAGACTAAGGTAGTATGTGTCTCCAGACTATGGGAGTATGTCTAGTGTCCTCAGACTATGGGAGTATGTCTAGTGTCCTCAGACTATGGGAGTATGACTAGTGTCCTTAGACTATGGGAGTATGTCTAGTGTCCCCAGACTATGGGAGTATGTCTAGTGTCCTCAGACTATGGGAGTATGTCTAGTGTCCCCAGACTAAGGTAGTATGTCTAGTGTCCCCAGACTAAGGTAGTATGTCTAGTGTCTCCAGACTAAGGTAGTATGTCTAGTGTCCCCAGACTAAGGTAGTATGTCTAGTGTCTCCAGACTATGGGAGTATGTCTAGTGTCTCCAGACTACCAGAACACACTTAGAACTGTTTTGTAATAAGGACTTTTTGTTGTCTCTTAAAATCTATAAGTTCTTAAATTCACATTACCTGGCTACAGCTTCACTGTATACAAAGCCTAGTGATGCTCGCTTCACAATCTCAAAACACAGGTCAGCACCATCCATACTGTAAAATTAAAACACATAAGTTTAAATGTTGTTTAGAGAAAAGACCACTTCTATCCACTGAAAAAGTTAGAAAATATTCTGCAGCATGTCAATATAGTTCTAATGTTTACATTATCTTCGACATATTCTTCGCACAGCAACATTTTTCCTTCGACTTATCAATACAATGATATCACTGTACTAAAACGAAAACAAAGTAAACGATAACTTGGTTCAAGAAGATACATCCTTGTTTCAAGACCCAAATCTATTGAGTGGTTCATATGGAACATCTCGTGTAGAAGCTTTTAATATCAAAAGTGGTCAAATGTGACTTTTAACCTTTAACCTCAACTGACAGCCACGAAAATGTGTTGAACTTGTGGTTACGATCATTTAAGGCTCTGTGAGATATTTAGCAAAACCACTGTGTGAAGGACCTACCTGACAGGTATATACTGTGACCTACCTGACAGGTATATATACTGTGACCTACCTGACAGGTATATACGGTGACCTACCTGACAGGTATATACTGTGACCTACCTGACAGGTGTATAGGGTGACCTACCTAACAGGTATATATACTGTGACCTACCTGACAGGTGTATACTGTGACCTACCTGACAGGTATATATACTGTGACCTACCTGACAGGTATATATACTGTGACCTACCTGACAGGTATATATACTGTGACCTACCTGACAGGTGTATAGTGTGACCTACCTGACAGGTATATATACTGTGACCTACCTGACAGTTATATATACTGTGACCTACCCGACAGGTGTATACTGTGACCTTCCTGACAGGTATATACTGTGACCTACCTGACAGGTATATATACTGTGACCTACCTGACAGGTGTATACTGTGACCTACCTGACAGGTATATTTACTGTGACCTACCTGACAGGTGTATATACTGTGACCTACCTGACAGGTATATATACTGTGACCTACCTGACAGGTATATACTGTGACCTACCTGACAGGTGTATATACTGTGACCTACCTGACAGGTATATACTGTGACTGACAGGTATATATACTGTGACCTACCTGACAGGTGGATATACCTACCTGTTTTTAAAAGGACTGCACGAACCACACATGAGTTATACATATAATCCGCAAGGAATAATATTATATTGTTAATCCACATGAAACCTTTGTATAATAATCCGCACCACACTTGGAATAACTATACTCTATGTACATCATAATCCATAAGCTACGAAAGGTGAACCACACACAATATATTACACTGGCTATTATAGAAGTTATTTGGAGGATGTAATCCACAAGGCCACTCTGTATAATTTACATAGAAAACTAATCCACATCCCTACTTGACAGTAAACTCTAGTCATACACAGTGGGGTTTTTTTTCATTCTTCATATCATCCAATCATGGTGCGTTTTCAATCCAGCGGGGAGAAGTCTTATAATTCATTACCACAGTAGAATTAGCCTATCAATAACCGTAATCACAAATTGATAGGATTTCTACACATTTCTGCACTCAGGTTGATATTATATGTTTCTTTCCAAAAAACTGTCCAATTTGTCTGAGGAATGGACCAAATTGTGCTTAGAATATAAATCCATATAATATTTGTAGAAGATGTTGAGACCAGCGTGCCTACTTAAGGTACGATCTGTCGTTTCTAGGTAGACAGAAAATTAACACTAATCCCTAGTTACTGGTCACAAACACATGTCTGTCCCCACCATATCACAGCCACAGCCTCACCACTGTATCCACACTGATGGCTGCCCTCATTGTGTTCAGATGTTTGGTAGCATCAGTATAGCATCAATTCATTCACTGGAGTTGTTCTCCAATACACTAATACTGGGTAAACTCCCCTAAGCCATCTCCTCCACAAATGCCTTGCCATGTAAAGGTATAACACAGTGCTGTTGTTTAATGAATGGAGAACTATTGTCTGGCAGAAAACACAGCTCAAAAAAAAAGCAATTGTCTATATATTCATCAAGCCTTCTGACTAATTTCATTTATTATTCTTTGAGAACAAAAATTTTTTGATATCACTGTTTCAATTGAACTTCACATCAATTGCTCTTACTATATAGCAATTAGATCCCAGTGGCTCAAAGCCTGGTTGGAATTTACACATGTTAAGTAAAAATTTCCAAATATGAATTAAAAAGTGATTTGAAATATCCTTAAAGTGTTTTAAGAAAGATGAGAATGATCATTTTAGTATATCTTTTTCTTTAAAAGTCCTTGTTTTTCCAACTTAATTTTTTCTCTAACCACTGGTAAGCTTTATAACCCAGTGGTTTGGACCTAATGGTAGGTAGTGTCTTGTAAAGAGTACAATTGCTTTATAACCCAGTGGTTGGGACCTAATGGGAGGTAGTGTCTTGTAAAGAGTACAATTGCTTTATAACCCAGTGGTTGGGACCTGATGGGAGGTAGTGTCTTGTAAAGAGTACAATTGCTTTATAAGCAAGTGGTTGGGACCTGATGGGAGGTAGTGTCTTGTAAAGAGTACAATTGCTTTATAACCCAGTGGTTGGGACCTGATGGGAGGTAGTGTCTTGTAAAGAGTACAATTGCTTTATAACCCAGTGGTTGGGACCTGATGGGAGGTAGTGTCTTGTAAAGAGTACAATTGCTTTATAAGCAAGTGGTTGGGACCTGATGGGAGGTAGTGTCTTGTAAAGAGTACAATTGCTTTATAACCCAGTGGTTGGGACCTGATGGGAGGTAGTGTCTTGTAAAGAGTACAATTGCTTTATAACCCAGTGGTTGGGACCTGATGGGAGGTAGTGTCTTGTAAAGAGTACAATTGCTTTATAACCCAGTGGTTGGGACCTGATGGGAGGTAGTGTCTTGTAAAGAGTACAATTGCTTTATAACCCAGTGGTTGGGACCTGATGGGAGGTAGTGTCTTGTAAAGAGTACAATTGCTTTATAACCCAGTGGTTGGGACCTGATGGGAGGTAGTGTCTTGTAAAGAGTACAATTGCTTTATAACCCAGTGGTTGGGACCTGATGGGAGGTAGTGTCTTTTAAAGAGTACAATTGCTTTATAACCCAGTGGTTGGGACCTGATGGGAGGTAGTGTCTTGTAAAGAGTACAATTGCTTTATAACCCAGTGGTTGGGACCTGATGGGAGGTAGTGTCTTTTAAAGAGTACAATTGCTTTATAAGTGAGTGGTTGGGACCTGATGAGAGGTAGTGCCTTGTAAAGAGTACAATTGCTTTATAACCGAGTGGTTGGGACCTGATGGGAGGTAGTGTCTTGTAAAGAGTACAATTGCTTTATAACCCAGTGGTTGGGACCTGATGGGAGGTAGTGTCTTGTAAAGAGTACAATTGCTTTATAACCTAGTGGTTGGGACCTGATGGGAGGTAGTGCCTTGTAAAGAGTACAATTGCTTTATAAGCAAGTGGTTGGGACCTGATGGGAGGTAGTGTCTTGTAAAGAGTACAATTGCTTTATAACCTAGTGGTTGGGACCTGATGGGAGGTAGTGTCTTGTAAAGAGTACAATTGCTTTATAACCTAGTGGTTGGGACCTGATGGGAGGTAGTGTCTTGTAAAGAGTACAATTGCTTTATAACCTAGTGGTTGGGACCTGATGGGAGGTAGTGCCTTGTAAAGAGTACAATTGCTTTATAAGCAAGTGGTTGGGACCTAATGGGAGGTATTGTCTTGTAATGAGTACAATTGCTTTATAACCTAGTGGTTGGGACCTGATGGGAGGTAGTGTCTTGTAACGAGTACAATTGCTTTATAACCTAGTGGTTGGGACCTGATGGGAGGTAGTGCCTTGTAAAGAGTACAATTGCTTTATAACCCAGTGGTTGGGACCTGATGGGAGGTAGTGTCTTGTAAAGAGTACAATTGCTTTATAACCCAGTGGTTGGGACCTGATGGGAGGTAGTGTCTTGTAAAGAGTACAATAACTCAATTCTGACTTACATATAACTAATATGTGGTCATGTTTGTGATCCAGGCCATGTCTATCATGTACTTCCCTACAACATGACTATATAAACATCTAAGCTTTGAGAACTTGTGTAATAAAAAAGGAGAAAGAAGAATTTATTTCATAATCACAGATGATGAAGTGATTACTGTATGTTCATAGACTGTTTTAAGTTCAAAACACAATTACTGCAATGAAATTCAATCTTCAGTCATAAGCCAGATTCTACACAGAATTACATGTTTGGTTTCCAAAGTTACACGTAAGACAACAAGCTACATATATAACATTGCAAATGTCTTCTGTCTGTACGTTTATAAGGGAATATACTTTCTATACATCCAACTGCCTGTCGAAAAAACTATATACGAATTAAATTAAATAAACTAGCACATATTATTTAGGAACAGTGACCTTGACCTTTAAACTCTGAAAATATGAACTCATCTGATGTTTTCTTATAATTCGTCTTTGATCAAAGTTTGATTGAAACCCTTAAAGAAGTAAAGTTGCTAATGACATTGATTACGGATGGGACAGGATAGGATGGGATAGGACGGGATAGAATGGTACAGGGAGAGAATGGGATGGGATTGTATGGGAATCACTATTATACCTGGTCAGACCTACTTCATTCCTATAAATCTGATCTTTTTTCATGTGTTGAATGAATAGTGTGGATGTCAGTAGTAAAACGTTCTTAAACCCTCTGACTATAACTGTACACTGCAATAACTTCAGTCTACATTTTTTCCATATCATGCAGCTTGCTGCTGAAATCTGATAAAGATTCCCACTATTGATGACATTTGACTTGACCCCGTGCCCTGAATCACAAAGTCATCAAAGATATCATGGTCATGTATAAATGTAAAAAAGACGCCAACTTGCTGCAGCACTGATAGGGTGTTGCATACGACAACATTCCTTTATCCTCAGATTCCAACTTCGTTATGCTGGGAGATCATAAAGTGTGCACAACTAAGACCAATTCAACAGTGATTCTCCATGTTATGGAATGGCTAAATGACTCACATGGCAAACCTG